ATATTTAGTCGAATCTATCGGAAAGTGGCCCAAAGCATTCACGACTACGATATGCCCTTCAAACCATTCTCTTGCCCGACGATGGTAAGCATGGCGGAAGAGAGATGAATCAACCAGTGTGCACCGCGAACCACGTCTGTCTGAAGGAGCTACGGCCTTTCGTTCTAGGGGAAGGAATCGCGTCCAATTTTTTATAGAGAAGCATGCTCTTTCACGACAGCTTCTTCAACAGATCAGATCCGTTACGCAGGACTGTAACCAACTTTCAAGCAGCACTTCTTATAGAGAAGCATGCTCTATCATTCACGACAGCTTCTTCAACAGATCAGATCAGTTACGCAGGACTGCAACCAATTTCAAGCAGTATTTTGACGAGTGTATTAGGGGGATGGCAACACACCGGGTTCTACGCACGTAGGCATGCTTTTCCTGCCAGCCCACTCCTACCGTGTCCGTTGCCCTAAAGTAACTCACACCCATCACTCACCTTTTCTTTGGGGGAATCTGGAAAAAGTACTTGTCGAAAGCCCTGGCCTTGAATATTGCCTTATATTGCTGCCCAGACACCGCCCCGAGCTTCACGGAGTCCGCCCCTTCCCTTTTTTGGATCTTAGAAATGTGACCCAGGTGCTTGGCCGGCGAATAGCCGGCTCGGCCAAGCATCTTGTCATAGCTGAACAAATATTGTTCACGAGCGTGTGATCACATTAGCGTTGCCCCCCCTTGGATGTTCCATTCGTTGGTGGGCGCACGATATTTGAAGGATTTCTTCTAGATGGAGCACAACACGTAGATGTTGCGCTTTTTTTTCTCGTGGAATCTGGTTGTTGTTTGACGAGGGCATGGCGTAGAGTACTCCTACACTACAGACTAATACGACATGACACCGGCCGCGTGGATGCTGCACCCGAAGCCCTTGAAAAAACTATGCTGCTGTTTGTCTAATACTTCACGGTTTGATCGATCCCCAGTCTCAGTGACGGAGATTTGAGTGTATGTCGCATTGGGGACCAGAAAGGGTGCATTCATACAGGCGAAATGGTGCAATTGTTTCGCCGGTCCAACTCCATTACAGTGTAGAACATCAAATCTCGGTCCAGTTAGCGTCAACGAAGATAGCATACCCATGTCTCCGAAGACTGTAGCACACAAAAATATTTACCTGAGTGATGTGCACTAAATGAATGGGTCGGCCTGCTACCACACGCATACTGAAGGGTGCATTCTCGACCACACGCAGCCACACGACGGGGCACCGCGGAATGTACGTCCCCACAGCACTGTTTTCCTCAATGCACCACCGTGACATGTGAACACAGCGCACATTGTTGGTACGCCAGACAGATAAACTTCTACGAACACCGGTATCAGCCGACCAAGTACATACCACTGTAGCCTGATCTGCTCTGGCGTGGGCGGCGGGGCGTCAGGGTCGTCCTCTTCCTCAGTTTTCTTGGGTGGATTTGTATTGCCGTTGTCTTCATAATAGCCCCCTGCTCCTGACTCTCGTGCACTAGATCCTCGGTGCTCTTTCTCGTGGGCTGTTGCGGCTATTGTCACCATTGTGCTCCCCGTGGGCGTCTTACCGCGTCCACCTACGTTACCACGAACGCTACCGCCAAAGTTGGATCCAATAATATCTTTGGTCTGGCGCTCGTTTTCAAAAAAAGTACTTGTAACCGTCACTTTTTGGTTCGGTGCGGCGCGGCCGTCGGCCCCCACTGCCTGCGACTGAGAGAGATAACCCCCGAAGACACAAGGCGGCCATCTATGGAACTCATCCACAATCGGGGGCACTTCTTGAAGGGAGGGTCTGTTCATCGGCAACAGCAGGGCGGAAGCAGTACAGTGAACCCACCCAGCAAAAAACTGGATTGGAACCTCGGGAGCTCGAAACATCACCAGCAGCATCGCCACTCTCACCAAAATGCGGCGCAACACTTCCTGGGTAAAGCGCAGGTCAAGGCGGATCATGGAGAGCGTGGAGTGCCACCACATTCATCTTCTATGGAGCCCCAGACGACTGCGGGGCCCAAGGTTTGCTAATAATCGTAGACGACCGACCGTGGGAGGCATTTGTGCTCACCACGCTCCTCTGAGACACAGGTCTCCCTCGAACGGCCGTTCACCAGGATCAAGCACATTTTCGCACGACCTAGACTACACATGTACACCAGCACATTCGCATATGCACACATGATCGCGAAGCGACAACTCTGTACATTCTGTACATGTTGTGTCAGGTGACGTACTCGAATGACGAAGCCGCATTCTACTGTAGCAGTCACATGGTCTGAAGGGAGAATGCAGCACTACAATAGTGTAGTTGCGCCTGAGATTTGCACCCCACGACGGTCAAAGTTCCCACCCCTCCGTTGCTACAGTAGTAGGCAGTACAAAAGTCAGCATATGTATATCGTGCTGGCCTGTGCCATGTACATGCTGGAGAAGGAGAATTTAGGATCATGCGACAGCAGCCGCTCGTACCCGCAGATTGTGCGTCACCTCTCTGGCCCAATTGTGGTGCTTGAGATGCTCTCATCCGCAGAGAAACACGACTCTCTCAGCCTCGCTGGATTGTCTCTACTGAAACTCCGTTCGCTAATCAACACCGACCTCCCTCTCAATTTTCAAGTGACTTCATCATTGAACAAAGGTGTACAGAACGCTATTTTATTGTCAATTCTACTGTAGTCTAGACCACTACCGATATACATGACTAAGCGATATGTTTATGTATGCACGACTTCAGTTTCAACTCTATCGTGTAGACTATAGTTACTCAAGGTTGACACCCTAGCTTTATGTACAGACACATGCAGGCGAACAAACACTGATGGTATGCACACAATGATTTTTAGGCTCAGCCTGGGGGCAATAACGTTCCTTCCCATGCACCACGCCTGATATTGTAAGACCCCCTCTTCCCGACACTCGAATATTTCTAGGAAGGGTAGAGGTGGCAACTCCAACTTATGTGCACACCTTCTTACTGCACGCCCTTGCTCGCCTGGAAACGACAAAATCTGCAGCAGCAGCAACCGCAGACGATCAAGGTCCAGGCAAGGTCGTACAGTCAGCATCCGTCAGCATCGTCCTCGCCTAGCCGCCCACCTAACTTTCATGCTGCGGCGGTAGGGGGCGGTGCCTTCGGCGGCAGCGAGGGATGGGGCCACAACCAGAGTGAGCTCCCCCTATGGGTCTCGTAAGGGGCCGATGCACCCTTCTCTATCATACTCGGGATGGATGTAGCCGCAATATTGTGTCTCCATCAACCCGGTGCCCGCCCGCAATATTTGTACGACCTTCCGCTCACCTAATATATTGGCGGGCCGTGGCCGCAACAAGTCCAACCGCTAAGGAGAATTGTGCCAACGCAATCACCACGAGCTTGCCCGACTGAAACAATATTCGTGTGGTTGCTACGTGTGCCGCGAATGACTTCGTGTTTTGTAGACTTCGGCCGCAAAAGACAGCAGCAACTACACCAGCAGTCGCACCACTCAGGGACCGGCGCAGGTGGTGGCGGCGGGGGGGAGGGTATCGGGCGAGGGGGACGAGTTCGACCACGACCGTCAAGTGCACGGGATCCAGCCTCGCGGTCGTCGATGGTTGGCAGAAATGCAGCAGGCAACGGAGGCGCAAGGACAGAAGAAGACGCTGTGCAGGTGGGTGGTAGGTGACAAACGTGTCCTGCGTATCCCAAGCGAATTCTTCGGGGGAAGCTCCATTCAGTACACCTCGCCCTTCAACTGCGGGGATGCGGAAAGGTCCTTCCTTGAGATTCTTGGAATTACTGTCTTGGACAGAAAAATAGGTTTCTCCACCTCCTCGGCAATTTTTCTAGGCTGTCTGTCAACGCTTCCCACTCTTGGAAGCAAACAACGGGCGTTTCCCTACAATGTGAGCTTATCCAGTCGATCCCCGACCCGGTCAACACCGCGATTTCGTGGCTGCTTAGATCGCCAACTTGCTGTCGACAGAGTTTGTACGCGTGTTGGTTTCGATGTATGGGATCTGTCTTGTCATTCTTTGAAATCCGTTTCATCGACCTGAAGCCCTTGGACGCCTCATACATACCGTTGCTGCGGCCAAAAGTTGGGCTAAACTGCGTATATTCCTCGTGTGTGGTGTGTCTAATCTCCACGCCGCAAAACAGGCCTCATTCTTTCCGCTGCTCTCGGCGGACGACGACGTAGAACCAACGCCAGCCGCAATAGCGCTTACGGCAGCAGGGGTATCCCCACCACCCGCCACATCAGCCTCGACAACCGCAGGTGCTCTGATGTCATCACGGTCGGTCTCTTTGAAACACCATCAGCACCGCGAGCGAGGAGTGGGACAACCGTTACGGGCCCACCCCATCCCCTCCTTCGCCAACGGAGCTAACCACAGAAGAAATACTGGCAGCGACGGTCCTGCAGTCGTCCCAGCGGTAGGCACCGGTGGAGAACGAGGTGCTAGCTGTGGGAGTGGCAAGGGGGGGGGGGTCGCCNGGCAAGGGGGGGGGGGGTCGCCAAGCTTTCACGCCGCGATCACTAGCGGCTGCGACGCAAGCTAGCGCCAAACCAATAGTTAGCCGCGCTGCGGTCCCTCAAGCCAGTCCCCCGAATCCCGCACAAGGCGTCAACAACTCCACGAGGAGTGGGTCGGCGGGAGGCGTCGCCGCAGCGGGTCTCCCGTCTCACTTGTCGCAGTCTGAGAACACAAGCACGGACACGAGCCCGCGGGTAAGCCACGTCAACTCCGCGGCAGGTATTGCTAACTACGGGGGTGCACCCCCGCCTTGTGGCGGCGGCAGCGGCAGTGGGGCATGTGCTCCTCGTCATGGAGGACAAACCGCTACGAGCGGTGCTACCGGCGGCGGGAGCGGGAGCGGGAGCGGGAGCGGGCGAGGATGTGTGGGCGGCAGCAGTAGCAGCAGCAGCAGCAAGGTTGGTGTTTTTCCACAAGATGGGGTCTGTGGGGATAGGAACGGTCGAGAATGCGACCAAGCGGTGATGCGGCTACCCGAGGGCAATGACAACGTTAGCTGCGGTACCTCGGCGGTAGGCGGTGATGCCAAAGGCCACGGCGTGGGGATGTCGTTCCAGCAGCAGCAGGATGCATCCTCCACTAGCGCCACGCTCGGCAAAGCGGCCACTCGACTACTGGAGGGAGGTGTCGGCGATGCCAGCATGTTGGGGGTGGGGGATGAGAACGGTGTGCTTTTGCCAGGCCCCGAGGGAGGGGTCGAAGTGAGAGAGTTCCATGGAGGCGTGCTCCTGGTCCGAAGAAGTGAAGACGCGAAGAAGAGGTCTCCGGAGCGGCTGAACTTGCACCGGCGGCGGCTTACGTCGTGCCCCATCATACAGGTAGTGTAGGTACCCCTCGGTTGCTTCAGGGCTCTCTACTCGTTGATGTAAAACGTGTGTTGTTGGGACCTTCACGTTACGGTATAGTTAAGACGGATCCAATTGTTCACATTGTGCGTATCACCAACTCCTCTTATTGCCGATTGGCATTTTACCAAACGCTGTTTGCGTGGCGGTTCCTCGGCCTGTGGACGGGCGGAGGGACGGCGGTAGCGGCATCATCAGGCTGGTATTGTCGTTACATACATAGACATTTGTTACAGGGAGACCCCCGTGCCCTACCACTGCGGTAGACCACAAAGGTCGTAGGAGCGATTTCCGCCATTTCTTTCTGCGCAAGAGGATGATACAGCCAAGAATATTGTGCTCTCCAACTGGGGACTTCGACCGACATTGTATTGGTTGTGTTTTGCTTATATACAAGACTTTAATCCAGTCTGCGTGTCGGGCTTCATTCGCCAGGCGTTGTGGCGTTGGCCCTCGAGCTAAAGGTTGGAGTCACTTTACCCGTCGAAATTCTACGTGAACCAATAGCTAGATATGCATTGTAAGGAAGAGCGCTGAAGTAGAGACAACCTAGCGGAGAAGAGAAAACAAGAGAGAAATTGATACGAACCACAATAGATGTTTCGTCTGGCCTGCCTTCTTGGACGCATGTTCACGTTTGTCCTCGCCGCCCGTCTGTGTCGGCCTGTGTTTGCAACTGAATCGCGATCGACAATCACCAACATTCCAGGGAGACAACCGATTGCGGTTGCTGAACTACCAGAACAACCTCATCAGCAAGATCACGAACCTGGCCAACCTACCCAACCTGATCTTCATCGATTTGTACAATAACGTCATCAACACGCTGGAAGGGCCGCTATCGACGATGACTGCCCTCCGCGTCATGATGGTCGGGAAAAACAAGATCCAGAAGGTGTGGAACCGTCATATGTTTCTCGTCAAGTTTTTATTTCGCATGCTGAGTGCACATGCTGTTTCTGCCGCTTTGCGTAGTTTTGCTTGCATTTGTTCACGCTACCTACTACGCGTCAGCGACCCGGCTTTGACCGCGACGACAACGATTTCTCGTTGCCTGCTGTATGGACGAGAAAACGATTTCATAGTCTCAACCATATCAATATTGTTGCCCGTCCACCCAGAAGAAAATGATCTTCACGGATTGCTCGTACACATACGTGACCTCTCCTCTACGTCGACCAGGATAGCATGTCGTTTCCAAGGGTTGATCCTCTTTGACGTCCGTTCCAGTGCATCTCTCCCGTGCGATGCATCCGACAACAGTCCCAATATCAGGAAAGATGTGTCTTCTTCCCTCCCTTTCCATACCTCTGTTTGTCGACACATATCCGCTAGGCAGGGGCAGGGGTAGCACCAGCAGCAGCGCAGCATCACTAGGCTATCTTGTCGTTGACCAGCCAATCTCTACGTTGTTATCGGGTGTGCCGTGTTGGCAGATATCCAATCTATGTTCTCTACGAAAACTGGACGTCCTGGATCTGCACTCTAACTCCATCCAAACAATGGGTGGGCTTGACGGCCTGCAGGATTTGAGGGTGCTCAACCTCGCCGGAAATGAAATAAAGTGAGCGAAACTGAAGGGTTGCTGTTGATCAGGCCGGTGTTCCTGTTGCAGATCCTTCCTGCCCCGTAGCGTGTGGCGACGGCGTTATTACTTCCCAAATGTGATGATTGAGGGAAATATTGACCGTTCCAACCAACTTGACCAATGTCTTCCTTTCAGGGTCGTGAAGAACGTGAGTTGCCTCACGGCCCTGACAGAGCTTAACCTCCGGAGAAACAACGTCGAGAAGGTATGCTTGTCTCCGGTGCTTCATTCGCTAACTACAAATAGAGGTGGTTGGGCGTCCCTGGTCTCTGAGCTACGGTAGGCTGCACGAAGAATCCCCTGGGTGTGTATCGCTTAATCAGGTTGTCGGTAAACCTATGTAGGATCCGCCCAAGCAGCCAGCAACCAATAATGACTATCAGGTTGCCGCAAAAAGGCGACTCTCGTACCAGGTCATGGTCAATTAACTCCCAACGCTTCAAGCAAGGTGCTGCCTTTCTAACGACGGGTCGTTTCTGGGAGTAGTTTCGGATCCTTGTTCATCACACACAGTGTCACTTGGACTTGCACTGTACAGCCTTCAGCAGCTGAATTGAACACCGCCTTTCGTTCGATGCGGAGAACCAGATTCGGGTCTACAGCTACAGCTGTTGCATTTGTTCCCTTCGGTCCATGCACTGACGATGTCTCCATATCACTTCGATAAAGTTGATGGCCCATGAGAGCGCATCAACAGAAGCTCGCCTCAATCTTGCATGAACGCCTTACGACGAAGCAAAAAAACCCACCCGCGGAGTCAATGGTCACGTGGCCATGGCTCTCCCTATTTCACGTGGGTGCATGAATGGGTTTTGTTGAAGGCCGACAGCGCGTGTCCGGTACTGTGCAACCAAACTGTATGGCCACAAAGTGTTGTATTGCGTGTCGATCAACTTCGAACATCCATGTCTCCCCTACCAAAACAAAGGTGATGGAACTTGAAGGCTTGCCCAGGTTGCAGCGGCTGTTTTTAAGCAACAACAGGATCAACAGCTTTGAAGACTGTTCCTGCGTCTTCTCGGTGGGGTAAGCACATGTACCCTCGATCATGCTGACGGGTGACAAACCCACAACTCCCTACCCCTACGATACTGTGGTTTGGTCAGTGAGGGAATACACTCAGGAATCTCACTCGAGTTGGCTTGGCGTGGGTGTACTTGAACTACGCACAGCGCGATTCGTTTTCGTATTTCCGTGGCGGCGAATGGATTCATGGATTGCACGATGATTTTGTAATACCAACGGCGTACCAGCGGTTGGTTCCTGGACGCCAATTTGTGGCAACAGCCGCAACAACGACCACTACTATCCACACCGTCCAACTTCACACAGCATGTCGTCGGACCAGAGCCGTGTTGTCACCCTGTGTCAGCGTCTGCCCTGTATGCCCCTCTGGAACCGAAGCAAACAACGTGTATCAAATACTGTAGGCCATCTGTGCTGCGGGCGAGGAGTGAAGCGTTGCATTTTCGAAGGCCGAGAGGCGGATGGTTCCACACCACTGGCAGAGCTCAGTGCTGTAAGAAATAGCTGAACAAAAGTGTTGGAGCGCTCCAATGGGTAGGCACCAGGACGCCTACCACGCAAGACGTCGGAGAGCATCGGATGCCAAGCATAATGATTGGTTTCGTTGGCAGATCGGGTATCTGCTGGACCCTGAGCTTCTACAGTATGCAGCGACACAGCTATCCCCGGTACTTGTTCACTTGCGGGTTAGATGTATTTTCTCTTCGCGGTTGCACGTATCGAAATCATCATGAATGTATATGGTAGGACAGCCGTCACCTCGTCAAAAGCGTGAACCCGTTGCTCCGGAGTCGACTCTGCCCTGGACTTTCAGTCAGAGCCACGTCCCGCTAGTTCTCATGAAAAGCGAGAACATGTGCATGGGATTGGATCGAACGGGAAACAAAATGTAGCTACGAGTGGGGCTGGGAAACACATTTTCCACATCTCGTAACTCAGCCCCTAACACCACAAACTTCCAGGTCTCTGATGGAGCTGAGCCTCTTCGGCAACCCTGTTGCGGTCCAAAACGGTCTCGGTTCGAGCTACCGCAGTTACATTCTCCAGCACCTGCCGAAGCTGCACCACCTAGACCTCAAAAGGGTGACCGATCACGGCCAATCCATTTCGCACCAATATTCGGACGGCAACATGGCGCCATCAACAACAAGGACAGCGTCAGCCGATGACGCCCGGGAGAGTAGGGGCGGGGGCAATAACGGCAGGAGCCGGACTGCGTTTCACGAGACGATGGGTAATTCTGGTAAAGGCTCCAGGAAGCCGTCAGGGGCTTGGCGTACGGGCGGAAACGGTTTCAGCACCAGCGGCACCAATAGCAACGAAGGAAGCAACGACGGATTTCCGGTCCTGCTAACCCACGGCAGCGCTGACACCCAGTCACGCGGGGAACATCACTCTGGCTCAAGTTCATCAAGCTCGCAACAACAACATCGACACCAGCATCAACACTCTCAGGGCGGCGATGACCCGAGGGGGCTTCATCGTGCAGGGCCGGTGATGTCTGCGCCCGCTCCCGACAAGGGTGCTATCGGTAGCGACGGAATGGTGCGTGGTGGTGCTTGGGAACAGGTGACAGTATTCGTGCAGGTGTGCCAAGTATTCTCTCGAACTCGTGGCGACAGATGGCCACCAGCACACACTCCGAGCGTGTTTAGAACAAGGACAGCACTGGAGAACTCGACACGAACCATGCACCGTTTGGGGGGTTGTATACCCCACCAACTCGCGCGAAGGGAAACATAATGTTTTCACCCGACCGTAAACTGTGCCTCACCCTAGGAACAAAATATTGTGCGAAGCACCCGCCCCTTTCTTGGAGTCTGCACAGACCGTATTTGCAGAGCGATCGAGCCGGAAACATTCCGTGTCTTGACTCCGCCATGATAATCTTTGATTATTTCACCGTCAAATAGAACGACGGGCAGCATGTCTCCGAGCCGAAATCTTTTATTGAGTCTGCCGTTGGCATCCATTCATGTTTCCCATGCATTCCCAACCCACACACAATCACGGCGGAGACGATACCACCAGCGAACGGCCTATGGCACCCATGGTCCGTCTGGGCAAGAGTTTCCGTTATTTCGCCGCTAAAGCATTCCAACGGTTTTCGGTTAGGTGTTGGTTGTCTTCTCGGCCAAGCTCACCGTTGGCAAGGTCGTCTACAGCGGGCGCGTTTCGATGAGAACACGTTTTTTTTTCCGTTTCCTCTAGTTTGTTCGAGTGTCATCACAAAAATCGTTTTATTTTGAGGTATGCTAACCCCCTGCGCCACCCGATCAACTCTCCCAGCAGACAATGGGCGCTGGCGAGTGCGGCATCACTGCCGGTGATAGTTCTAGGGGGGCAGCGAGGAAGCAGGTGGTTTTGGCTGTAGGCACCGGGATGAGCCGGGCGGCGGAGGCGAGGGAGGCAGTGACTTTGAAAAGAGCCAAGACGGACCGAGAGGAGTGGGAAAAGACGGCGCTCAAGGAGCGGAGGGAAGCCATCGAAGCCGCAAGGCGAGCGTTTATCTTCGGAACAACTGCGGTCTATTGTGTGTGTTTTGGTATGCTCCCCGGTAGTTTCGCATCGATGGTGGCTCAGTTGATGTTGCTCCCGAAACCAGGATCCAACCTTTCTACGCGTGCAGTCTCTGCCGAAGCCCGCTAATGTACAGTCCTACAGTGCACCCCCAGCATTATTCGTGTCTTCTTGCCGCACCGTGACCGCCGCGAAAATCCCTCTACTTCACCAAAGGTCGAACCAAACTTTCTAAAAGGAGGGATACCGGGAACGATCGATTATCGGAGGGTACCAACTCACACCCAGACCTCACACCCACTTCACCCCCATTTAGATCGTCCTCGGTTCCGGCTGCCGTTCGTTTAGGGAGTGCTGGGAGAGGCGCGGTGGCGGCTCCATCACTTCTCGAGCTAGACATCGCAACCCTCGGGACTCCACCACCGCGGGCAAAGACAGCACCAGCAGAAAGACCAGCGCCCACGTGAAGCCGCCCCCCGCATCTTCGTCGTCGTGCTCGGCACCCACTGGCCCAGGCCCAGCTGACAACAGCAACACGGGCGGCGGGGCTGTTCCGCCACGGCCGGAGCCCCCACCCCCAAACCCACGCTCCCCTACCCCTCCAAGCAGACGCACATCGTCCTTAGCAAACACAGGGAGTGAAGTGGCGGGGGTGACAAGGACTGTTGGAGGAGTTGGAGGCCGCCGTTCAAGAGACACTGGGCGAAGGGGCAGCATTTCTGGCGGGGTGGGATACTTCGAACTGGAGCAGCGGTTGCGGCACAAAAGCATGGGCGTAGGTGATGTTGCTGCATCCGGGGGTGGTGTTCCTAGCGGAGCAGGCGGGATCACGCTGAAGGTGTATGGAGACGTTTGGCGGTGGCTCGGCGACGGGAAGGTGTGCTCGCTCAGGGAACAAGTCGTAGAGGCTCGGTTCTCGCTGGTCCATGTGACTAGCGTCGCCAGGAAGGCCTCGACAATAGCACAGGTGCGTCCAGTCGTGCAAAACAAGGCGACATTTTGAAGCAGATTTCCTGCATGATTGTCCCTGGCGGGCGAGGTTGTCCTCATGAGTAACACACACTGAGTTCGGGCACGATAGATGGAGACTTGAAGCTTCTTGGTACCTACCGTTGTAGCGGGACTGTTCCCTAATTTCTCTACTGGTCATCTCTTAGGTTTCACGCGATTCTCCCAGTCCGTCAGACATGTACGTTCGAAACACTACCTGCCTACAGACGAACGCACCGCCGACTTCCCAACACGAACCGCCCTGCCTCGTGCTGTGAACCCGCCATTTCGCAGACATTTCCGAACCTATCATGCCTTCAGCTACTGGACAATGACATCCGCAGTCTTCGGCAGCTGGAGCACTTGCGACCGATGTTGACCAACCTTACCGCTCTTTACCTCGGGAAGAACCCCGTCACGAGAAGCGCCTCGGAGGCGGCGCTTCGAGCCTGGGTGAAGGGCCAAGGTCCCTGTGTTAGCTTGGTCTCTCCGGGGCATGGGCCGGCGAGTGACGGGAGGAACGTCTGTACCGGAGATCGCCGACTGCATACCCAGCAGCAGCAGCAATCTCCGTTAACGAACGCATTTGCTGGTCAACAACACTCTTCTCCTCCCAGCACACCGACCACCCAAGCGGCACCGCCACTCCCAGCGGCGCCTACACCCCATCCTCCCTGCGGAACTGGCACTAACAATGTCAAACCATTAGGCGGCGGTGACATGGGCGTGCCTTCCCGACATAGTAACGGGCACGAGAATGGTTGCGAGAAGACAACGATAAGGGTTTTGGAGCAAGGGGAAGCGGGTAACACGGTCATTGCAGCAAGGCAAGACAAAAAAATGCAGTGCAATGGAGACAATATGCCTGGATTTGAGGATATCGTCGAGCAGTCGACTCGATCGGCATCAGAAAGGCAATCCGGCCCTACAGTCAGATCGGAACACACGGCGGTCAACGAATCGAACAACACTCCCGCCAGCGCCGCGCTTGTAAGGATTGATTGCACTGACCGGGACCCGTTGGCCTCGACCGATGCTGCTTTCGAGAGACTTGCGGAGGCGCGAAGCCGCGCCGCCTCTTCTTCGTGGGGAGCTATCGCTTTGGCAGGATCGAGCACGGCTAGCCACGTGAGCGACGACCCGGATGGTGTTAACGACATGGCGTGGGCGTCCTCGGCGCGGGGGGCGAAGCTGGCTTGCAATGGAATGGTGAGCGACGAGTAGAGTGGCGTACAGGGCCAAACAGAAATCATTGATGACGGAAAGGTACTATAGTCATTGTAATAGGACTCCGCAATTGTCTCAAGGGAAACTTCGCGAATGTCGGTGAAGCAAACTGGTTGGAAGTTATAACCTGACGTGATCATAACAAGTACAGGGAACGGCTCAGACGGGTAATGATGTGGCGATTGAAATTGGGGCCAATGATGCATGCTGTAGGGACACTGGCAGTTTTTGCTTACCTACAGGACATTATTGGGGCTGGCATTCTTTCATTATATTCGCCTTTCCTTCACGCACCTTGGTATGTTCTTTCAATCACACGAATTCACGTTGAGGTAACCTTTCAGCTGCACCCTGTCCCCGCTCAAAACCCCAGGGCTAGCCCGAGCACGCAAAGCAGTCTTCAGCATCACTTAAGATATTTTGATATTTTTGGGTTCATTGATGTTGCGAGAGTGAGCTGAACGTGCACTAGGAAACATGTAGGGTCTTCAGTGCTTGGTCAAGCATGGGTAACAAGTGGCCAGGTACGGCCATAGGGCAGAGCATTCGACTCACGTCGTGCAGGAACGTGCGACGACTTTGAGATGCTTTGGCATGCGATGGGTGTCCTGATAAATGCAGAGTTTTGGTCAATTTAGATGTAATGGCGGCTGAGAACAAGGCCTAACTACCGTAGTCGCCAACACTGTTCGTTACGGGTATAACTTCACCACTTGTTGTTCCACCGCAACAGGTGAGGCGAGTCTGCGAGGCACACAAGAAGGATGAGAGCTTCGACCAGGCATGGGAAATTGCTGTTCAAAGCATCATAGAGGTGCACCCCTCTCGCGTGTTGTTCTTTTTATTGCTGATACTTCGATCCGTTTCACCGGCATATCGTAGTTCCCTAAGCCGTGCATATATATCAACGACTGAGGGCGAGGAAAAAAAAGTTAATGTAGAAGTAGGCATAGAGACGGTACAAAGGTAGATTCACCCTATTCCAATTTTTATATGCTGCGCAGCTCGCCGCCCAATGCTGCCCGTCTCGAGCTGTCTTCGCCCACCTCATCACCCCCGACGAGGCAATCATTTTTTATTGTGTTGTCTGTCGAATGGAGGGCGTACGTACCTGTAGCTTGGACGAGAGCCAAAATTGTCGAAGTTATTCGAACTCTGGAGTGTGCCCCCGAACGCCCATTTGACATTTTCCTGTAGACGGCATTGTACGAATGGACACGTTCCAGTACTAGACGTACCCAGAACGATCGACGCGTCAAACGATCGCTTCCGATATCGTCAAACGCATCAAGTTTAATGCTGTGCGCACAACGACAATGTTCGACATACAAATGCCTCGGCCTTGCTGTCGGCAACCAACCGCGGTTTTGCTCGTCCATCTTACACCAAAAGTCCGCACCGACCAACCGCAGGAAGTCGTGACTCCTACCCGTACGGTTTCCAGCGGGAACATAGCGGTATCGCCCGGACAGAAACCACCGCGTCCAAAGGGTAGCCATGGAACCGTGCGTGGCGGTGATGGAGCGAGAATCTCGGAGGTAGCCGTCGCTCATTCGGAGGCCAACAAAACGCAAGATGCCCAGCTCCTTCATGGTGAACCTGGGACTGAAGATAGCACGAGTTGCAAGAACATGGACAGGAACACTGTTGGGACGTACACACCACGAGCCTGCTGGCTCGACGACTGGTAGCAGCTGCGAGCCTAGCGGCTTCTTAGAAATATCATTTTCAAGATTTAAATGTTGATGGCTCAGGCTGTGCCTTTTTGAGTGTTGCACCATCAATTTTCATCCCTTGCTGAGACAGGGATAGATGCATAGAGTAAGAGGTAAGGTGATGCGGAAGGTATTCATTGTCGCAGCTTGATTCCGTAATGCAATTTGTCGGGTTCTGTGGGAGACCTGAACAACATTACGTATGGTCCAGTGATATCCTCGTAATCCGCTAGTCGCAGAGGTCGTGAGTTCGAATCCCCATGGGGTGAAAAATTTACGAATTGTGCGGGTGAAAGCGATATATGGCTGAAAAGCTCTCGTGAGTACCAAACTTCGACGTTAGCACCGTTGACGAGGGAAAGGGACGGCTGGACCCTTCTCGTAGTCGTGCATGCCGTAGTCGTTAGACCATTGACCTCGCATCCCTACAAAGCCG